ATTTGACTTGGAATGGGTGGTTACGTAAACCCTAATATCTCGATTTTCGGTGATTAACAAGGTTGACAAGAGTAAGGTTTGAGGGGTTTTAATAAGTGATGATCAGGAAAAAAAATTGTAGTAGTATGAAGTTGTAACGATAGATGTTAGAATTGAGAACAAAAAATAATAATTTTGAATAATAAAATGATATTTTTGTAATGGGTGATAAAATACAACTAAATCATTATATGGGTGGAAAAAAATGGTTTACTCGACGACAATATCCACCAATTGTAAGTCTGTTGAACAATAAAAACAAAAATAACGTTCTCACTGTTTTCTAAAAAAGAAAGATATTGACAGACATTATAAAGAGATGGTAAAAAGGTATCATATACTTAGAGGTATGGATGATCCTAATATGAAGCAAGCCTTTTTGGCATCAATTCCTGAATCTCTAAGTCATGAAGTAACCAAGCTTGCCTTCAATCTAGAATAAATTAGGCTGAGTGGTCCAGGATTGAAAAAACATCTTGTATCGAACACCATCAGGGAGGATTCTAAGTTTATTAAGTTTAGAGTAAACATCAAAACCTAGAACTATATCTTTGCCAAGTAGATCAGAACCAAAAACTTTATAAAAAGTGAAACAGCCTGAAAAAATTTAGATTTTAATAGATTTGTTGATCAGATGTGTTGATGCGTGATTTAGGCATCAACCAATCGACACGTGCGCAACGTTGATTGGACAAGAAACCCACGTGAATATAGATTATGAATACGAAATAAATGCAATGAGAGCTTTTAAAGTGGTTCGGATGCTAAGGTAGCAAGTCCTACATCCACTGATTTGTATTGATATGGTGGGTCAAGTCGCTAAAGCCGACTGACTTACAAATGATTGGAAAGTAAATACAAAAGTTTTTGAGAGAGAGGTTTTTTTTATGTAAAATTGTCGAATCCCTTTAATGAAGGGGTCTTCCTCTTCTTATACCCAGTTGAATGTGCGTAATCATCACTAAATCCTTGGGTTGGTGTGATTGTCAGAACCTAATATGATTTTACGTCCCATTGCCCATTTCCCAAGCTGATTTCACGTGATTTGGAGCAGGGGAACGGACACGTAGGAGCTCCAGGGCGCTTGACAGGCTTGACGTGCGCTTACCATTCTGACGGGAGCAGGCCACGTTTCGCCACGAGACTCCACGTCAGCCCTCGGTTTCCCAGGCATAACAGGAGTCCCCTAGTTTTTAAGGTGTGAGAATCGAACCTTGGAAACTAAGTCATGCCGCGATTTGTGGTCCTAGTAGTTTCGATCCGAATGGAAGGATCTCGGGACAGGACCTTTTGCGAACACGACCTCGCACAAGTCTTACCCAAACGACCTGACAATCATCATTTTAGCGACCTGGATTAGTCGGACGCTCTTTTCCGTGCCTTGGAGAGATTCAATGAACCCGCATACATGCTGTCAGACGCTCTGCACGTGCTGCAGTGTCAGGTACATTAAATGCGTGGTGTACTGACCAGACGTCATTTTGACAGTCTTAACTGCGCGACGCATATGAAACGACGACCCTCATTACTGCATTTAATGCGACGTGGGGCGCATTAAATGCGGGGAGAGAGAGAAGGCTATCGTTTCGGTTCCGAGAAGTGGTAACCGTCGATTCGCAATCCATATAAAACCTCGCATTTTTCAGATGAGGCCACCAAAACCTTTTTCGTTTCCAATGATAAGCCTTTGCAAACCGGAAGTTCTTCTTTTCCAATCGGCGCTTCTTAAGCATCTGAAACAGGTTTCGGCCTTGGTCACGCATCCCAGAAGGTGAGGTCCATTTTCTCCTTTCTCTTCCCCCTTTCTTTTTTTGTTTGTCTGGTTGGTGGGCGAGGGCGTTGGGTCTCCTGGTGTTTCACCAGAGGCGCGCCGCCGTTGCCAGGCTCGAGCCGTGGGTGGCGGCTCGAGTTACTGTTAGGGTTTAAGGAATTTGTCCCGTGCCGCCGCGCGGGACAAAATGCGAAGGCTAAAATGATTGTGTCTGTCGGTGTTGCAGACTCTGGAATGGATCCGTCAATGTCTAGACCCGAGGAAGTGGCCAGCTCGTCCTCGCGGGACGTTCCCGAGGACGCATCCCTTGATGTCTTCTCGGTTCTCACCCAAGAAGAGCTTAATAGGATAAAAAAGCAGTTTGACGTCCGCACGGAGGTGTTCCTTGACCACACCAGGTCGTCACGGCGCCCTTCCGATGGCCTTGCCGCGATCTCCGAAGAGATCTTCAAGGGTGGAGGGATGATTCCCTTCCATCCTTTCATCAGGTCGGTCCTGGATCACTTCGGGATCGCACCAATGCAACTCACACCAAACGCGTATGTCATCGTCGTCGCGATGTACATCGCGCGCTGCGAAAGCGGCTTGGGCAAGCTAACGGCAGTGGAGCTCGGCGTCGCCTATTACCTTAAAAAGAGTAGGGACAAGGATTCATATTACCTGTCCCGACGACCTACCATCGCCGAGGGGATACATAGCTATCCTAGCAACGCGGGGGCCTACGAGACGAAATTCTTCTTTTTCTGCTATGACGGCTACTGCCGCTTTCAGACACCAAGTATGTTATTCCTCGCTAGGCATATTATCTGTTCGCATGCTCTATAATAATGACCTGCTTTCTTCTTTTGCAGTTAATAGAACGACCAGCCAAGACCTACTTGATGACCCGGATAGGCTCGTGTCTTTTGGAGTATTAGACGAGGAAAGCCAGGATGCGAGGAAGCTCGTGACAACTGCGAACTTGCAGAAGTATGGTTTTATCAGCAACAACGCGTCTTTAGAACCCTTGTAAGGTAAGTTACATTGATTTCCATCCTGGTCGCGGAGCAGTTTTGTTTACTAACGCATTTGTATGCAGAAACTATGTCCCCGAAAGAGTCTGAACAGTAAAAATCTCACTATTAGCCATTTAGAAGACCTCTTGATGAGGTTTCCACTTAAAGGTTGAAAGGATAAAATATCTTCCTTTTAATAAAGTTGGAATGATAGTCTCTGGGATCCATTAATGGGTATCTACCCAACCCACATGGTTGTTGTTTGGAATCTCCCTCTTGCTCTATACTTTCATCGGAATAGTAAGTCTACTCTTGTCATTTTCTGATATTGATTTGTCTATTGTTCTTCCGACAATTAACTTCATAACTAAAATCTATATTGTATTCGTTTGTGGCCGCTAAAGTTGTCCCAATTCCGCCGACAGCCACTAAAATAGAAAAATTGTCGGAAAGTTTTAATAATAATATCCTTTGATTGGATGACATTAACTATCTGGACAGAGCATTAATAAAAGGTATTATGTTAAAGTTACACAAAATAATCGAATTTTACGTTTCGTTTATTGGGTTTATAAGATATTCAATGAATTTTAGTAATTATTTGAGGTATAAGTAACTTACACCTTAGTTATAAAAAAAAATGCGTTTAATGAAATCTTTTTATCTATAATATAATCTTTTGATGTTAGGTTTGAGTGATTTTTTTTTTTTTTGGTTATGAAATATGTATTAATTTCTTTGAATTAAAAGAAAAGAATTTTGAAATTCCTAAGAATTAGATAAATACAAACAAAATTGTTTAATATGGTAATTTTATTTTTAATAAAGTTGGTTCATATTTGTACTAATGTGTAAGGACTATGGTAGAGTAGAGCGTTCGACCGAGGGGAGAGGGACATCCGTGTTAGAAATGGAGCAAGAGTTGTTGCATTAGTCGTAGGAGTTTATTATTCATCGTTACCATCGGGTCTGATCATAAAGCTAGAGATTTGTTATGATGTTCCTACTGTTGCGAAGGATATTATTTATGAGTTCACTTTGGATGATTATGGATATCATTTTGATATTGCTAATAGATTGATATCTTTGTGATATAATTTAAGATGAGACTGACTTCTCATCCAATAAGACCTTATTGAATAGAAGAATTACTCCATCTTATAACCCAATAGATTTGAGTGTGCCTAGTCGATGTGGGTCTTCAATATTCTCTCACACGGTCAAGCCTATATGTTGGGTCATGTCTATTGATGAAGGTAGTTATTGGCTTTAACTCCTCACTCGCTCGTCAAACGTTCAACTCAATTTAACCTAGGCTTTGATACCATGATAGAATTTGAGGTGAATCTGACTCCTCACCTATTAAGGTTTTATTGAATGAGAGTATTATCCCCTTCTTATAACCTAATAGATTTGGGCGTACCTAGTCTTTGAATGGTATTCATTATGGATCAAATTTTATAAACTTTCTCTCATAATTTTAATATGATAGCTAATAGCTTATAATTGGACAGATAAAATTTATTACGAATTAATCAGTTATGAATTACCACGTTAAGATTGTAAGAGAAGTTGATTGTATTGAATTTAAATAAAAAAAAAAAACCGTAAAGCAAAGGCGAGAATCACGAGAAAAATAAAGGAACCGGGTAATGATAAGATGTCTGACTGTTGTGGTACTTGAATAGTAATTAAATAAGAGGGCAAGAAAACGAAGTCTCAAGAGCCACTACATGTTAAATTAGTACGAGCAAGAGTGTTCAAATAAGCACGAGATGAGAGAAATCTCAAATCAGAGAGTATCCTTGATTACTTGGTCCCTCATCTTCCTCTTATTTATTTTTCATCCATCTACCTCTGTACAATATTTTCTGATGTGTCCACATCTCCACTCACTCCTCCACCCTTTTATCCAACTGGCCTATCAATCCCTCACCTCTTATAGGGTCGAAACGTGTCCACTTCTCCACTCCTCCTCCGTCTGATCTCACTGGCCTTATCAGTCCCTCACCTCTTATATGGTCGAAACGTGTCCACCCATGAACAACTTTTTCATTTTGTTTTTACGGCAAAATTATACTGTTTTTTCGATGAAAGTTTTAGTCAATGCAGTAAAAGTACATTTCCTGTGTTGAAACCTGAACTCTATTTATTTTCAATCTATTCTCTTCTTCCACCCTGACATTGCAGGAACGAAGAATAGTAGAGAGTAGAGACACAGAAAAAAGCTTCAACAGCTTCTTTCTCTTTAACTCTCTTTGTTCTTATTCTTCTTCTTCTTCACTCTTTCATTTCTACTGTTTTTAAGTTCCTCCAATTCCTCAGCTTTCCTCTAATCATCAAAAGGTGCATCGCTTCTACCTTCTACTCATCATCCTTTACCCTAAAAAAATCTCTTTTTTGTTTAAAAAAAATCTCTACTCATCATCCCTTCTACCTTCTACTCATCATCCCTCAGCTTTCCTCTAATTTTATGTACTGTAGATTAGTATTTAGTGTTATTATTAACTAATATCTTTTTAGTCATATGATGCATTAAGACTTAAGAGTTGTTTCAACAGAACATTGTAACGTATAATATGTGTTAGTACATTAATATTTTGGCTTATTATTTTGACCATGTTCTTTATATAAAGTATTTGTCTTTTTGTCTATCATATATATATATATATAGCAGAAAAATCTTGTACTGATGAGATGACATAAGAGTTAATTTACATATTTTGAGAATAGTTAAAGTATAAATGTTAGATGTTACACCAAAATAGCATAAAACTTGAGATAAATATATTATTTTCCATGAGCTAATCTCACTCTTAATCACCAATAATCACACTGTAGTTCATAAATAAGTAAAAAGCTGACGTATATTTCCTACAATGTCTCATTCTTTGTTCGAATCTTGATAGGGATTCATCAGAGCTGAAGCATGAAGAGAACAAAAGGGTGCCAGGACCTTCATGGAATGGAGCGTGATGCCCAGAATACTGCTAGACAGGTTTTGTAACTCAATATTCAAACCTTTTTGGAGTTTTGTTTATTCACGATGGGTTGCTCTTTTAGTTCTGCTAAAATTTCTTGAATCTTTGGCTTTGCTTTTCATTTCAAGTCTTCACCCTTAAACGATGTTTTGGTAACTCTTTTGGATACATTCATTCACTTTGATTGAAGTTTGCGTTCACGTAAAACAATTTTTTTAACTCAGTGAAAAAATAAATTTTAATTACTCGCGCTCAAGTGTTTATTACGTCTATTGAAAGTTGAGATTTTTTTTTTTTTTTTAATAATCCGATTATACAGTTTGTGCGTACCTCAACTAATTTTTAGGGTTCATTAAACATTCAAATGGATAGGCAAGTCACAAATATAACTAGTTTGTATCCACCTCAACCAATCCACAATATCCATTAAACACTCAAAAATACGAACCTAATGGATGAGATAAGTCATATGGGTGTGTTTGTTTTAGTATTATGGCTAGTATTTTTTATATTTTTAGAGTTTGGTGGGAATAACGAGGTAGGATTTAAAAATTAACAAAAACGCCCTCATAGGTCTGTTAATTTCTAAACACCTCTGTAATAAAAACATTAAAAATTACAAAAACACCCCCACCCATCTATTAAATACCAGCAGCCGGCCACCACCGCCAAAGGGTGGCCGGAGTCGTCGTATCGGCATATGACCAGCTGGATCTGGCTGGTTGTGCGCCGAAATGACCTTTTCTAGGTGGATCTGGCCAGAAAAAGCCAGATCTACTGCCATATCTAACCATGTTTGGTCATCCACGATGGCCAAAGATATGGCCGGAATCTGGCAAATGTGGGTAGGTAGGAGTGTTTTTGTCAATTTTTAAACTTTTTTGGGGGGTGTTTAGTTAAATTAATAAACTTAAGGGGTTTAAATGGTTGAATAAAATATACTAGTATTTTCAGAATAGGGAAACAAACTGGTATTTTGAAAATAGTATGAATATGATAGTGAAAAATATTAAACCAAACAGACCCGTTTATATCCCGTTTGTGTAGATCTCAACTAATTTTCAGTGTCAATTGAACATCCTAAAAACCCAATAGATGAAGTAAGTCATAAATATAGCTAATTTGTATGCATCTCAACTAATTATCAGGATCTATTGAATACGTTATAAATCCAATAGATCAAGTAAATCACAAATATAATAATAATCACTTTTATGGGACTATCTCTGAGTAATCTATCCAAATAATTAAAGTCTTACCGTTCAATCACAAGGCCACCGACTTAAGTTGAGATTTTGGCTTGTTAAATGGGAATATTTTTCTACAATTTAATGGATTTGGTAGTAATTACGTAGTGTTGTTAATATGTAATCTTATTAAATGTCTGACAAACTTTGGAAGGATTTTGGTAGTTGTCGTTTGTATTAAAATACTACAGAATCGTAAATCATGTACGTACGTAATAAAGTTTTGCTAAAGACGTCGTCCTTTAATTGACATTGTAATACTGTAACAGGCTGCCAAAGAACAGAATATCAGTAGCTTATCAAAGGGAATCGATTCTCAAAGACTTCGATCACTCGGAAAAATGCCGCCAAAGCATCCATTTCCTTCAAAAGTTTCGTGTGCTTGTGAAGTGTTTTCCGAATATAACGTGGATACTTTGAGAGAACAGAGGGATATTTTGAAAGAAGAAATGGCTAGCTTGATGATCACACCTTCAGTAAGTACTTCAATTCCTACATATTTAATATAACAAAGTATATTTAATGTAACTTTCTTTCTTTTTTTCATTCTTTATAAACAGTCAAATTTAAATGGTCAACATCGACAAGAAGAAGATGAAGAATCACATTCTCTTTTTTTTATTGGAGATCAACCATACAGGAATTAAGATGATGGTTCAAGGTGGTCGCTTCGTTGTAATGTTATCATAAATAACATGTAGTTTGCTTTGATTAGATTCCAGTTCTGTTAATAGATTGATAAATATTAGTATTTCTCTATCTTATATATAGTAGAAAAACCTCGTACTGATGCATGAATTGAGACTTTAAGAGTACTTAATTTACAATTTTGAGAATATTTAAGGTACAAATGTTAGATCTTACACTGAAATAGCATAAAGCTTTAGATAAATATCCATGTCTTTTTTTGTAAAAGAAACAAGATAATTTGATATGTGTGATGATACAAATCTGCACCACAAGGCAGAGAGTGCGGGACGCCAAAACGAAAGTTCCCTAGGTTTATACAGACATCTACTTTAGATGTAAATTTTGCGCCGTTGGATTGAGTATACCAAATGGAAATGGGAAGAAAAACAGGTTTTTTCACTCTTTCTTAGCCGAACAGCTTTCCATGGCAGAGTATGTATCCTGATCTACCAAACCATGGATGCTCGTATGCAACTCCATGGAGTAGGGCAAGATCCATGGACTTCTTCTTTGACACATCTTCAACAGTGGGGGACGCCAAAACAAAAGTTTCCTAGGTTTATACTTGAAAAGACATCTACTTTAGATGTAAATTTTGTGTGGTTGGATTGAGTATACCAAGTGGAAATGGGAGAAAAACAAGTTTTTTCACTCTTTCTTAGCCGAATAGCCTTCCATGGTAGAGTCTGTATCCCCCATCTACTAAATCATGGATGCCCATATGCGAGTCCATGGAGTAGGCCAAGATCCATGGACCTTCTTCTTTGACACATCTTCAACAGTGATATTCCGTCATAACTAGCATTTGTTAATGTTCACAAACACAAAGAAACTCAACCAATAAGGGAGTTTAGACCGGAAGAATTGTACAAATTCAGTCCCAGAGGTCCATGATTTCTCTTCCACAAATATACTTACAACCCCCTTCAATCCCATTAATGCAGAGCAACCAAACCCATGAAAGACCTTCAATCCCATTAATGCGGGGCAACCAAACCCATGAAACACCTTCAATCCCATTAATGCGGAGCAACCAAACCCATGAAAGACCTTCAATCCCATTAATGCGGAGCAACCAAACCCATGAAACACCTTCAATCCCATTAATGCGGAGCAACCAAACCCATGAAACACCTTCAATCCCATTAATGGGAAGCAACCAAACCCATGGAAGAGGTGATTCTGTATATCGAAAACATCATCCTTCAAATAACACTTCGGTATAATCACATGATACTTTCGTTTTGACACAAAATGATTACTCCAACCTAACCACAACAAAACTTCAAATTCTCAATCAAACAAAAACAACAGCAAATCGAACACAAAATGAAGCTTAACCAGTGCTAATAAACAATTACAACAGTAGGTCACTGCAGAGTATTTACATCCAAAACTAAAACCCACAACCTAAAACAAAAAAAAAAACAACAAAAATTCTGCTTAAAATCTCCAAATTAACAGAAAACCCATTTGGGAAATGAGTCAAGGAACCAAAACTAACAGAGGCCAAATATGAAAAGTAATAACAAAACAAATGAAAAGAACTAGAACCCCCTTGGTAAATTCAAGAACAAAAACAATAGAGGGCTAACTGGTGCATCTGCAGTGAACACAAAATGGGGCTTAACCAGTACTAATAAATAGTTACTAACAGCTGGTCATTGCAGAGCATTCACATCCAAAACTAAAACCCACAATCTAAAACACAAAAACTAAGCCTAAGATCTCCAAATTAACACAAAACCCCATTTAGGAAATGAGTCCAAATATAAAAAATAATACCAAACAAATGAAAAGAGCAAGAACCCACTTAGTAAATTAAAGAACAAAATCAATAGAGGGCTAATCGGTGCATCTGCAGTGATCATCACAAAAGGGCTAAGGAGAGTGCGCTACAGTGTCCTCAATGGTGTAAAGAGGGATAATATAATTGGCAGACTCGTAAACAAGAAGAGTAGACCAAAAAATATATATAAATTTATTGGCAATATGGTGTATGAAGGTCTTAAAATAGGCAAAAATTGGACCTGTACAAATGAAATTTTCTTTTTTAAAACTAAAATTATCTCTTAAATTGATATGTTTATTGAAGCATATTACCTGGTGGGGATCTATGGGTATTTCCCTGGCTTCTTTGACATAACTACAATGAAAATGGAATTTTTGTTAACAACATATTAAAGGGAAGAGCTTTAAACAAAGAAGAGGAATTAAACCTAAAGTCACAACCCGAAATCAAAAGTTTTGAACTTTTTTTCCCAGAAATCATCAAAAAAGTATTCATTTGGGTTTGTGCAAAAAATAAAAGCTTTTTATTACTCTAAACTAATAGTTTTGGAAGCTAACTTTTGAATGTTGTCTTCCAAATATCTTGCCAACTCCTCCCATACCAATAACTGGTAATTTGATTGCTCGAATAATGTGAATAGATCTCGATCTGCCTGCAACAAAGTGTTCGACAAAATCTAATCTGATCAGTAAGTTTCAAAATAAAAAACTACGGCAGCAATAACATAACAAGTGAAGCGCAAATTATGAGATTCATAAAAGCACCAACCACATCTTCCATTCCTTTGTGAGAGCTTCATAAGAACGCTAACTAAATAGCGGCTGGCCTTCTCCGGCCGTCGATATTTTGCTGGTGTGTCCTTCGCCGGAGCTGGGTTTGAAGATTCGGCTTTGGTTTGTGTAATGGTATTTGTTAAGTTGAGCTTTCTTTGTGTTATGGAACAAAAGGATTTAGCTATGCCAGCCAGTAATACTAGATTTACTGCTGCAAGTAATACTAGGTTTATATAGACCTGCAAAACGGGTACTGTACTCGCGGCTCCGCCCGTACTTAGGTAATTTTAGCGGATTAGTGTTAATGTATTTAGGGTCCCGTGGAAAACGTACCCGTATTCCGTCCACCCATTATTTTTACAGCGGGTCGGGTGATACCTGTAGGCACTAGCATAAAATTAAAAAAAATTAACTTATATTAATTTTTAGGATAAAATCGACCCACAACCTAATTTTATAAACTTTATCTCAGAGTCTTGACATGATAATTCATAATTTGATAGACAAGACATATAACGAGCAGACAAGAACAAGACCCATCTGAGAGTTGTCATATCAGGATTGTGAGAGAAAATTTGTGAGATTGGATTATAAGTATTGTATTACCCTAATTTTTAATTAGAGTAATGCTACATCCACAACCTCTTCTCACAAACTTTCTTTCATAACCTTAACATGACTTCTCTCAATTCATCAATCACATTTTATCAGATGAAACCCATTACGAACTGATTAATTATGAACTATTATGTTGAGATTGTTGCCCCAACTAATGACAGATAGATTGTCACACATTGATTATATAAATATTATAAAAATTCATCATCATCCTTTTCCCCTCTATAAAACCTCTATTGTGCCCTTTTCTCTCTACTGCTCTCAGATTTTAAATCTCCTTTACCTCTCTAAAAACGAAATCAAAATTTTGAAAAATGCGTGAAATCCTTCACATCCAAGGTGGTCAGTGTGGCAACTAAATCAGTGCGAAGTTCTGGGAAGTTGGGGTTAGAGTGAGTTTGAGGTCCTACTTGGGCTTTGTATTGTGAAACCCCAATCCATGAGGAGTAATGTTACAGTTACCGAAGAATGCACACCGAATTTATACATCAAATAACTTGATATCATTATGTCTTCTTAAAAAAAGAAATTAATAATCAATCGACGGTCAGAATGACGTCACGTCATTCAGTGCATAAATTCGATGCACATTATTCGATAACTGTATTATTTTTCAACCATTAGAGCAATTGTCCCTTTATTAGGCAAGGGCTATTAAAGTAAGTTCATATCATGGATCCTGAACATTTGGGAAGTCTATAATATTAATCTATTAAAATGATGACCATTATTTTGATTGCATAAGCTGTAAAGGTTAATTCAGTAATAATATTTTGATTGCTAAACATGCGCAATTGAGTCAGTCACAGTCGGAGTCAGTAAACCAAAATCCATCCATGAAATAATTTGATCTCTTATTAACAACATAGTCTAATTATAAAGAGCATAGTTATTGTAGAAGGGACAGGACAGGAGAAGTCATATGCTACTATATCCAATCCATGAATAATAATTTGATCCATACTCTAATTAGCAGTAAGCTAAACATAATCATAGCACCAGAGAAAGCTAAACATGAAGAGACTGAATGATCATAGGACTAGGCTTCCATATTCCCAAATTTCATTTCACTGAAAGCTTCAATAACCAAGACTCTCAAAAGCTTCAATAACCAATTATAGGACCAGGCTGTCGAAGGTGATCTATCTGAATTTTTTTTGGTAACAAATCAGCTACCCACTAGGAAAAAAAAAAAAAAAAAAAAAGAATATTATAAATAGACAAAGGTTATAATAGTTTTTATAAAGTAAAGAATTTCACTGATCTGGTAAACTGCAACGTATGTTGATCCGAAGTTCTAATGGCAGAGACACGCTACACATCTCTCAAAATGGGCCAACCTTTTCTAATTATATCATTGATCTTAACATCAATCAACTTTTGAACGTTTGGAGGGCAAAGCTCCGCTGCATAGCTGTTTAGTTTTGCAGCTAGACTTGACTTCTCAAGCTCCTCTTCAGGTAAGTTTCCCATCAGCTGAAGAAGGAAAGGATTTCGTTTGAGCTCAAATTTCTGCAGAATCACAGCATTCAAAAGTTTGTGAGTGTTTTCAAGGTTTTAACCAATAATTTTCTGTTGTAAGCCGTGTCAATGGTATGATTATACAAAAATTAAAGAAGCCATATCCTTCTAATAGTGTTTGTGATTTACTTTGAAACAAACAAGATATTAATTTTTTCTGCTTCTAGGTTGTAACACTACAAAAGAAATCACATGCCCATCATTGCCATCTTGCTAAAAACAGAGAGCAACTTATTGTCAACAATAACAAGAATGTTGCAGCAAATTCAAGCGCAACCACAGTAGGCTGTATTGCTCAAACAATTCAAGTTCATTATCTGCTTCATGTTCTCCATTAAAACATAGTATCTTTTCCATTAGGTTGAGGGTGAAGAGGTATTTACGGTAACAAAATCAATCACATGGTTGTCCAATTTTTTCCAAGGAAAAAAATGGCAAGAAAAAGAACTAAGAATAGTTGACTTATGCTTTTTAAAAGATAATAATAAGAAGAAGAAACTAAGATATAATAGACCTGATGTTCAGGTTCTGCAGAATAAAAGGTTCCAAGTTTTTGAATTTGAGTAGCCACTATGCTGCTCTTCGACTTCATTTGCTCTTTTTCTTTGCTAAGAGAAGCCAATCTGAACTCATCTGTTCCATTTGTGAAAATAATAGACCTGTTCACAAGTAATAGTTTACAGATAATCTAAGATTTTGGCATGAAGTAAGAAATAGCTATTAATTACAAGAAAAAGAAAATGTAAAGAACAAACAGCAGCTGGTTGCAAACATTTCCACCTGTATTGATTACCCACATCAGGACCTTGCCCAAATACTTGCCTACAATCGTGACTTGACCAAAAAACCTCCAAAAGTTCCCTAAAAGTGATCAACCTAGGATCGTACTCAACCTTCACAGCATTCAAAAAACCATATCAAACAAATTTCCATACGCATAGAGAATGAAACATAGTAGATTGATAGAAGCTGCATAGAAAGTAATAGGAGGAAAATGTAACTTTGTCACGAGGCCTGATATATGCTTGAATAAGTTAAAAAAAAAAAATAGGATTGGGTATTCAACTAATTTACTTCATATCTATTAAGGCTGAGTTAAGAATTTAGCAATAAATGCATGTAAAGAAAATCACTTGTGAGGATATTAAGATAAACTAGTATCCATGATGTCCATGTCAATCATCATACAAGTTTTAGCATGTAATGAACACAAAGACCTACATTGATGTTTAAAAGCTGATGAAACACTTTTCGCCTCTAGTAAATACATGGCATCTCTAGAACTAATCTTAGGAAGGAAGGACATCTATTATGGCTGTTGTGTAACAAACCAGACATTGACCAATTTATTGATGCAATAGCATTTTCGTAGTGTTATTCTGCCAACAGTTAAAATGTTAAAAAGATCCTAATGTTTAGGAGATAGCATATTCTTCACCAGGCTAAGCAACTGTCCCTACTGAAATTGATTTCAAAGAAAGAAAAGACTTCAGTCAAAGTATTGAATAGGAATCAAGACCCTTCTCTTTAAGGCTAATTATTCTGAAATAATCTCAATGCTTAATTTTATGGTAAGAAAGCTGAAGTAGTTTGAAAAACAATCTAAAATCACATGATATTGTGAAATTTATAACCCACCGATTGAAAATGTGTAAGATCTCCCAAGAGAGAATAATTTCAGAATAGTAACTTAAAACTAAACTAGTTCAACAAAATCTAAAACCTAGAGCTTATCGATCAAAGACTGAAACAAGCTCCGCATAATGAAATATAAAATGATATCATTCACTTCACATCACAACGTTGCATAGCTACATTACCAGAATATTTAGGCAACAAGTAGCCTCTATTACCTTATCACCAACTAATTAGCTTGAAATCAAAAGTCACACTATATTGACTCAATTACTGTACATTTTTGGGAAAAAAAAAAAAACAGATAGATCCATAGCCAAACAGCGTCCTAAACTTGGTAATTAGGAAAATTAAAAAAAAAAAAATCAAATATTTATAAGAATTTAAGAATGTGATGTACCAATAATCAATTAAAAAAACAGTACCTGCACGGACTCGGCATGATCACCCAAGCTCCGATAGTCGGGGTTGGTTTTGGATCCGCCAGCGTATCCAACGGTGGTACGTACAACTCCGTTTAAGCATCCGAAAACAGCTTCCGATCTCCAGAAACAACCAAGGGCAAAAACAGCTGTGTTTAACGGGTGGTCCGGCGGGTCCTGAACGGTATTTGTGATCCGATCAGGAAACCGAATGCAGAATGATTTATCGGCTAATGAAATGGTTAGTAGAATCAGAGAAAGTATGTAAGGTAAAGAGAGATTTGTCTGTGAAAGATTCATGGTGCGAATGAATGAACAGCCTGGGTTAGAGTAAGTTTGAGGTTCTACTCGGGCTTTGTATTGTGAAACCTGAATCCATTAGAGCAAGTATCTCTTTATTAGGCAAGGCGTAGTAAAGTAGGTTCATATGCTATTAATATAATAAAAATAATACGATAATAATTAATAATTATAATATAGATAATAATAATTAATATCCCAATAATGGAATAATATCAAATTACTTATAACTTAAAAAATTGTGAATAGTAATCTATTAATAATGATGACCATTATTTTGATTGCATACGCTGTAAAAGTTAATTCAGTAATAATATTTTGATGGCATAACTTGCTATTGAATCAAGATTAACCACCTAAATATAGCGTAGCCAACACCAATACTAAAGCTACAAATGAATCTTACAAAGATTTCTTTATAAAATTATATGACATAAAACTAATAGAAGAGTGAGTATGATGAATTTGACCTTTTTATATTTACTCTTCCATTCATTTCCTGTCACATCACTTTGTACATAAATATAAGATTTTTTTTTGTACCTCTAACATTATTATACATTATAATTGAAGCGCTTTTAAGTACATATATTCCTATAAAATGCAAATGGTTGATTTACAATTTTCATAATTGGAATCAATGTGGTTAAGAATAGTAATTAGGAACCCGACCCGACCCGATCGATTGAACCATGACCTAGAGCCTTCATCGGTTTGGGTTACAAATTTTCTTATTCATTCAAAACCTTAGAAATTAAGACATCAATCTGTGAATAATTGAAGGTTGGCATGTTAGGGCATTTTAAGAGGAATGGTCGGTGAGTGGAATGGTGGCAACAACGTTGATTTCCAGTGAGTGAATCAACCAGAAATCGAAAAACAATGTCATTAGCAAAAGCCTATTGTCATCGACGATTGGAGAGGCGAGTGGAATGGTGGCAACGGTGTCAATTTCTGGTGAGTGAATCAACCAAAAATCATAAAACAATGTTGTCAGCTAAAGCCCGCTGTCGCCGACGATTGGGGAGGCGAAGGGGGCGAAGGGGGGAATGGTGAGATGGGTTTTAGCCACAAGGTTGAGAGGAGTGTTTTCGTGGTGAGGGAGAGTGTTGTCGTCGTCCGAAACAAGCCCTATTCGTTGATGGCAACGATGGTGTTTGAGGTGTTTTTGTAAGATTTCAAACTTATAAAAATTACATGTGATTTTCAAGGATATTTTTGTAAAGAGTAATGCTACGCCAACAACCCTCTCTTACAAACCTCTATTACAACCTTACGTGTCAACAGATTAGCACTGTCACGTAATCTCCCACGACACCAGGACATCCAAGCACTACGGGAAACAAATGGTTGTTCTTAGAGGAGGAACAACCGTCCCCTACAAAGGAACGACCATCCCCTACGAAGGAACGACTGTTCCTTCCATAAGGAACAACTGTTCCTTGAAGGAAAATGTTTGTTCCTTGAAGGAACAATCGTTTATTCTTCTTCTTTTTTCTCTTTTTCTTCTCCTCCTTTTGACTAACGGAGAAGCGACAATTCCTTATGTAAGAAACGATCATACCTTTATAAGAAACGGTCGTTCCCTATGAAGACACAATCGTTTCTTTTCTTTGGTCTAATCAAAATTGTTTTCCAACCCTGGGTGTGGTAGAGCTACCATGACAGTAACAGGTCAGGTGCTACATTGGCGTAGTGAGAGAGAGTTGTTGACATAACATTATTCTTTTGTAATACGTTTCTAATCACTGATTAAGATTTAAGAGAACTAAAATTGCTTCCATACTTTTATAAATCAACATAATCATAGCACCGGAGAAAGATGAACTTGAACAAACTGAATGGATTCCGACAGCAAAAAAATTCTCAAATTTCATTGTAGTTAAAGCTTCCTATAACCAAATTATAGGTCCAGGCTGTCCAAGGTGATCTATCCGAATTTTTTTGCAGCAAATCCACAACCCACCCAGGCAAGTATGTCCATAAACAGAAAAAGTACTAGTGAAAATCAAGTAATCTTACCAACTCTGAACAGCCTAACAGTATTACAAGACCAACCCTNCGAAAAACAATGTCATTAGCAAAAGCCTATTGTCATCGACGATTGGAGAGGCGAGTGGAATGGTGGCAACGGTGTCAATTTCTGGTGAGTGAATCAACCAAAAATCATAAAACAATGTTGTCAGCTAAAGCCCGCTGTCGCCGACGATTGGGGAGGCGAAGGGGGCGAAGGGGGGAATGGTGAGATGGGTTTTAGCCACAAGGTTGAGAGGAGTGTTTTCGTGGTGAGGGAGAGTGTTGTCGTCGTCCGAAACAAGCCCTATTCGTTGATGGCAACGATGGTGTTTGAGGTGTTTTTGTAAGATTTCAAACTTATAAAAATTACATGTGATTTTCAAGGATATTTTTGTAAAGAGTAATGCTACGCCAACAACCCTCTCTTACAAACCTCTATTACAACCTTACGTGTCAACAGATTAGCACTGTCACGTAATCTCCCACGACACCAGGACATCCAAGCACTACGGGAAACAAATGGTTGTTCTTAGAGGAGGAACAACCGTCCCCTACAAAGGAACGACCATCCCCTACGAAGGAACGACTGTTCCTTCCATAAGGAACAACTGTTCCTTGAAGGAAAATGTTTGTTCCTTGAAGGAACAATCGTTTATTCTTCTTCTTTTTTCTCTTTTTCTTCTCCTCCTTTTGACTAACGGAGAAGCGACAATTCCTTATGTAAGAAACGATCATACCTTTATAAGAAACGGTCGTTCCCTATGAAGACACAATCGTTTCTTTTCTTTGGTCTAATCAAAATTGTTTTCCAACCCTGGGTGTGGTAGAGCTACCATGACAGTAACAGGTCAGGTGCTACATTGGCGTAGTGAGAGAGAGTTGTTGACATAACATTATTCTTTTGTAATACGTTTCTAATCACTGATTAAGATTTAAGAGAACTAAAATTGCTTCCATACTTTTATAAATCAACTTAATCATAGCACCGGAGAAAGTTGAACTTGAACAAACTGAATGGATTCCGACAGCAAAAAAATTCTCAAATTTCATTGTAGTTAAAGCTTCCTATAACCAAATTATAGGTCCAGGCTGTCCAAGGTGATCTATCCGAATTTTTTTGCAGCAAATCCACAACCCACTCAGGCAAGTATGTCCATAAACAGAAAAAGTACTAGTGAAAATCAAGTAATCTTACCAACTCTGAACAGCCTAACAGTATTACAAGACCAACCCTGTATTCTACGATGGATCCCATTTCATCATCCATATTCCATATCAATATTTCCATATTAAATCAGATAATGACATCCCAATTCAAAGATATCAAAATCATTCTTACAAAACACATAAGAAGATTAGAAAATTACCATAAATCTAAATTTCAAACCCACATAATTAAAGAAAACAACCGTCTTAAGATTCAAATCTGAACAAAACTTTCTACTGTAAAATGTGCTAAATAGCCTCTGATAAAACTCCATAATAGGTTGATAACAGATTGTCGATAGAGAGCAGAAAATAAAACTCAGAAAACTAAGCCTTATCAGCCTTAGCAGCAGTTGCAGCAGCTTGTCCTCTGAGACGACCAGTCCTCCTTGCAGCAATGAGACCAACCTTCTGGCCAGGAGGTGCATCACGCCTAACAGTACTGGCATGTCCAATGTGCTGGTGGTTACCTCCTCCATGGGGATGCTCCACTGGATTCATTGCCACACCACGTACCTTAGGCCAGCAGTTTCTCTTCACTCTAAATTTGTGGTATGCATTTCCTGCTTTCAGAAGGGGCTTCTCAGTCCTTCCACCACCAGCAACCTGCCCAATCATGGCTCTGCACCCACTTGGAACAATCTTCTTTGCGCCAGATGGAAGCTTAATCCTGTACACATCAGTTCAACATCGATTTAATGACAAAGAAAAGAAGAAATCAATAATTACTTTTCCGCGGAAATTGCAAAGGACTTCATCAAAACCCTGGAGATACCAAATTCTCTTCAACCTATTTATGCCACTGGTACAATCAATTTCAATCTCAAATCTCAAAAGATTTTGCAACACACTTCCAAGTTCGATAAATTTTGAATACAAAAAAATATCTTTCCCATTATAACTTTTTAAATAAATGTCATTACACAATTCTCAAACCCCTTTTGTGACAAAATTAATCAACGATCGCTATATATGATAGACAACAAGCAATGTCAACAAATCAAGTTTCCACATTACTAGAAACAGATAGCATGTGAATGAAATGAAATAGATATCAATAACCAACAGAGGTCAACAATAACACAGGATGCATTAGCAGTATTAATGGAATCCCCAAATATAATCAACATAACATATTAACATAAGCTCATAACAAAATCATAGATAACAGCTCAAAATATATACCAACAAAACGATAAATGAACAAAAATAAAGAGACCTGCTGGTGTCGTTATCGGGGTTATGACTGATGACGACGGCGTAATCCCCAGAAGCCCTAGCAAAAACGCCACGGTCACCGACATGGTGCTCAACGTTACAAACAACAGCACCTTCAGGGATAGATCTAACAGGCAACACGTTACCGACCACGAGAGTGGCCTTCTTGCCACAGTACACAAACTGCCCAGTGTACATACCCTCAGCGGCAACGAACAGCTCCTTCTGTTTCATGTATCGAAATGGGTGGCGGAAAGTAACTCGGGCAAGTGGGGCACCGCGCCCAGGATCGTGGATGATTTCAGTGATAACGCCCTTGAGATACCCATTGCGTTCACCGAAATCAAGGCTGCGGAATTGGGCCGGCCCCTTGCGGTGGTGGGTGTGGGATTTGAAGACGGAACCAGCACCCTTACGTTGAGCGCGAATGACTCTACCCATCGTTCCCTAGTGAAAGAAGCTGAGGCGGCAGATGAGTGAGATTAGGGTTAGGGAATGGGATATTAGGGTTTCTCGTTTATATAGACAAGCTTTCCGTATACGGCATCGTTTTCCTGTTCTCTAAGATATATTAGGGTTTTTGAATATCACTAGTAAGTCCCAAAATTATTGGCCAATTTTCAAAACCCCCTTGGTTTTAGAAAGTACTACAGTCTGTTCGTTAAAGCCCTAGTACTTTACGAAAATGGGTTTCTATTCATTACTACTTTATCTTTTGCAAAATTGATATGTTCATAGTAAATAATTAATAGTTGTTAATTATACACTTCTATTGACGTTTTAGAATTTCATCATATTGAACCACGAGTCCTGATCTAGCTGGTAAATGGACTCCCAATAAGCGAATAGAATCTCACTGGAAGCAGCTTTGTGGCCAGAGACATTTACCTGAGCCCAGAACAAGAATTAGTCTAAAGACATTCACCCTATTGTGGACATACCCTTTTAAATTAATCATCTCATAATAATTCAAAAATTCGCCAAAAATCAGCTCACAATTATCAATTTATATTCTAATACATAAATGACCTTTTTCCTTTTTTCAAACTTAAACAATTTTATTTTATATATTTGTATATAAAAATTATGAATTATGGGTTAAAGTAATCCTTTTCACTCATTAAATTTAACAAAGTTTTGACGATAGCAACTTAAAGGTAATTTCCTGTGAATTTTTTATGGGTGATCACTAATTTGTCAAGTTCACAATAGACATGGATAACAATAAAATGGTGTTTCATTATTACATAATATAGTTGGAAATTAAAAAAACACTTTAGTATTTTCCTTTAAAATATTTTATTTTATGTCAAATAAAGATATTGTGTAATAGTTCATATTCGAAAAATTTGCTTGGGTTAATTTTTCACTAATGTTCAAAAATTTAAGTTGAATATTGATTTTGGACAAATCTTCCAAAAACTGCCCAAGGTTTGAGTTGAATCCGTTCAAAAACTGCCCTGAGGTTTGAGTTGACTCGGTTACAAATTTAGAAGGTATCGAAATAAGTTTTTATTTCTTATAAACGACATGTTCTCACCCAAAGATTAGTAAAATGGCAAGTTTCTACCCCTGCTTTCATTTATTCCAGTTTCCCATTCTTAAATTAACAAAAAATCGTTTAATATAACGGTCAAAAAGTAGAGTGGTCATTTGTACTACATTAAATCTAAAACAAAAATACAAATTTCAAAATAACCCTCTACATCACAAGCACCCTTAAGAAATTGCCCAGCAAAACCACCCATTGTGCCCGTATGGATAGAGGGGCGCATGGTTGAAAGCACCCCTCCGGTCTTGAGTTCAAGTTGTACCAATGGGTTGCCAATATCCATACCTTAAAAAAAAAAAAAAAAAAAAAAAAAAAAAAAATTACCCAATAGTCCCTACAAGTTTGAATTTTTTTGATTGCATCCTTGTGATAGAAAAACCCAGATTCGTCATAACAGCCAAAACCATCATAGCAGCAATCCCTGCAATCCAACCCAAACCCGCCATGAAGAAGAGGAAAAGAGAGAGAAAGAGAAAAGAGGAGAGAAAGAGGCGACGACCAACAAAACAACCTAGGAAAACCAAAAAACAAGCCGCAAATCGTCAACCTGCTCTGAAAAAAACCCTAGGGAGAGAGGGCTTCAATCGACGTTGAAAGGTGAGTAATCAGGGACGAAAAGCATAGGGTTATTGGAGAGGGCTCTTTGATGAGTCGAATGGTGGGCTCAGTGAAGATTTTCGGTGATGGGGTTGGTCAGAAAGAAGCGGCGGAGTGCGACACTTGAGGTGAAGGGTGATAGCGAAAAGGGGAGTCAAGGTGGTCGAGGGGTAGTGGGTTGGGATGGTGAGGCACTGGGGAGTAGGAAAATGGGGTAGGGGCAATTTTCGTCTCCAAAAAGTGCTAGAAAACGGTTAGGGACAATGTTGCTAACATGCGTCGTCGCCTGCTAGAATGCGCCACGGAGAAGAGAAATGTTGAAAAAGAAGGTGTTATTGAAATAAATTTGAAAGTAAGATGATTATTTTTCAATTCTACAAATTTGAAGGTTAAAAGGCAGTTTATTAATTTATTTGTCAATGGAAATTTGATAATAACACTATCTATACTATGTCAAAACCTAAAAATCATTAACGGTATTAATTTAAAGATGAAAATTTGGAATAAATAAGACCAGGGTGAAAACCTGTCATTTCACTAATCTTTGGGTGGGAACATGTCGATTACTCTTTCTTATACTACAACTTAATACTAGTGATTAAGTCTTTTAATTTAAATCTTTCATGAGCTTTTAATTTACTGGTCCAAAATTAGTATTAAAAAAAGGGTTTGTTGATCATCTATAAACCTCTAGAGTAAATAAAAATAAATCTGTTATTTTAAAATTTATTAGCAGCGTCTCTTATGTAAGTGTTGATATTGGTAAAGATGTCTTCAAATTTTATTTTAAAAAAACTGTCTTATCCCACCTCGGAATACATACACCTCTACTGCAAGCTTTTGTAAACTTAATTTATTGAACAATAGAAAAAGAACATCTTTGATCATTTCTCTTTCAGTTATTAAAAACAAATTATGATAGATACGGTTTCATCACTGAAATCTTATTCATACTAACTAATTCCTCATTCAAAAATCACAACTATTGGGCTGCGGACGGTGTGCTCATTAGAAAACCAATTCAAATATCCTTGGGCAAACTCTGCATCAATGTTCTGAATTTTTGTGAATGTCACGGAGTATTTCGCCGTCTGGTTCGTCGCTGTGAACATAATCCCGTCAGGTTTCACACTTACGTCCACTCCTGGTGGTGCAACAATCATAGGATAGTAAGATGACTGAGCTTGGCCAACGTTTGTTACTGTTCTTGTGTATGTCTGAGGAGTTGTAGAGTTCAATATGATAGAGAATGAAGCGTAATTTAGCTCTGCTTCAGGTATGATTGACACATTTGAGCACTGTAGATTACGCTGTACAATGGATCCTACCTGTTGGTCTGTATAATTCAAGCCACATAAATAGGGAATGTAATCGTCTGGTTGGATGTCGTAAACAAGCCCCGGATCATTTGCTTTTGATGGGTTAACATGCCCTGCACCAACCGCAAAAATGTCTGCTGGAAGAAGATTTTGGTCAATAATGGGCTTGCCTTCAAGATTCAATATATCAGCAGTTGTCAAGATGGCAGATTTTATTGCAGCTGGTGACCACTCAGGATGTGCGCTTTTGAGCAAAGCAGCGACACCACTTAGATGAGGGCAAGACATTGAGGTTCCGGAAATCATGTTAAATGTTGATTTTGTGTTGGTGTTGTTTTCCACGGAAATTGGCCAGGCAGCTAAAATGTTCACCCCTGGTCCGATAATGTCTGGTTTTAAGATTCCAGGGCTTTCTAAGCTAGGACCTCTTGAGGAGAAAGCACTAACTTCAGGAGCAGATTTCTTGCCAATTGAAGTTCCTTTAAACACGATTGCGGCCGTTGGTGAGGATGTTGAGTTTATATAGGCTTTAATACTCAATCCTGCAGCATAACTGACATGTGTTGCTGGAAGTACGTGCGGATTAGCTAAGGTACTGTAAGCATTAAGCTCGTCATTCATGAGAATCATGGCGGCACCACCAGCATCTTTCACTTCTTGTCCCTTTTCAAGTCTAGCTATTCCTCCACCTCTCTCACACAACACTACCTTGCCCTGAACATCACTATTTTGCAATGATCCTGGTGCGCACCATGCAGATGATTCATTACCATTAGCACCTGCATAAACGAGGGGCAATTGCTTGACAGGGAAGTCTTTTGGCTGGAATATAGATTCACCAACGTATACTTGGCCATTTCCAAGCTGTGCTAATGCAACTATGGTTCTGTCAATAGTGCTTGCTCCAACTGTAAGAATCCATGGAGCCTCATTAGACAAAGATTGATAAAATGGTCCCTCATTTCCTGCTGAGCAGCTTACGAAAATGCCCTTTTGAATAGCACTAAATGCACCCAGTGCAATAGAGTCAGCGTAGAATGGCACAGAACCACCACCAAGTGAAAGCGAAAGCACGTCAACACCGTCATCAATAGCAGTGTCCATTGCAGCCAAAATGTCACTCTCAGCACAACCAACATCACCACAAACTTTGTAAATCGCCAAATGAGCTAAAGGCGCCACGCCAGCTGCCGTGCCGTTTGCCTGACCAAACTCATTGGCACCTTCCACAAAATTCCCAGCCGCTGTGCTTGCAGTGTGAGTTCCATGCCCTTCCTCATCAAGAGGAGGACTAGCGTCGCCGAAATTTCTCGCCCCAATTAGCTTGTTATTACAAGCCGTCCCAGTGAATTCACATTTCCCTTTCCATTTTGCTGGCGGTGGAGGCATTCCTATATCACTGAATGAAGGGTGGCCCGGAGTTACTCCTGTGTCCAAAACTCCAACAACCACTCCTTTGCCATAAGTTGATTCTCTCCAAAATCCCAAATTTTGTTGCAAACCCAAGAAGCTAGGACTGTGAGTTGTGTGAAGAGGCAATTTTTTTTCAACATGGGCTGATACAAACCCATCCTTGGTTTCCATGGCTTTTACTTCCTCTGGTGTCAGTTTTGCAGCGAAACCACTAACCACATTTCTGTAGGAATACACCATTCGTGGTGGTTGGTGGTTTGAGGTTGGGGTGGTAACTGGTAAGAATGAATGATACCAGCTTTCTTTATCTGATGATTGCATTGACACTCCAGTTTCTGGCCTCCTCACTTGAACGATGTAAGTTGATAAGCCACTTACCTCATTTTCATTGCTCGTCATAGCTACTGCCTGAGAGAAACTGCACGTCAAAATGAGACTAATGAGGATTGCAGCCATGGTTGGCAACACTTTTCTAATTTTGTTCTCCATGTTTGATAAAACAGGAGAATGGTAAGGAATAGAATGATTTACTACCCTGATCCCATGCACATATATATAATAGAAAGAGACAGATGGTTGGTATAAACAATATGGCCGGCCGTGTTAATCACAAGGCACAAGCTATATATTTACAGTTTATAATATGTAGATATATACAATGAAATTTGTTGCCGTAAGCGGTTATGGAGAAGGGTTAAAAGATGCGGACTTTATTGCTTGGTAGTTCCCGCTGACCAATGGAATCAAGATACAAGTTTATTGATACAAAGCGCGAAAGTGATCAGCGATAAAGCTTATGTAATGTAAGCTATATGTAAAGAATGTTGTGACCCTAGTATTGGGTATAACTAACCCTAATTGTTAAAGGGTTTGTCATTCAATTACAAAAGTAGAGGTAACGACGTAATTTTACCTTACTAGTTTACGAGTTCATAAGAATTATATATAATTTCGGGCATTCATGTATAGCAACATAAGTTAATTAATGCCTCATCATAACAATGGTTGATCTTTGTCATCAAAGAACTACAGGATTTAAGAAGGGAAAGGATGTTTTACCCTGTAAAGTCAGTTAAATGAGGTTCTTACTTTTTCGCAAAAATAAAGTGCACTGATCACCATTCTCAGTGTTGAAGAGTTTAAAAATTGAAGGCCACAAATTAACAAAATTCAACCTCATAAACTTCAACCGATTTGTGAAATTATCACTTGAACCCAATTCAATTATATATATGTATAATGAATACAATTTACACATCATCACATCACCACCTTCACTTTTCTCTGCATATGAACAAAGCTTCAAGCCCAGGAGACATTGCCAAATAAAAATTTTCAGTCCTCCATGAGCAACTTCTCCTTCCCCATGACCACCCCAGTTTCAGACTAATAACTCTCATAGCCTTCTCGGACTAATAACTGTTGTGGTGGGAGGACCACCTTCTGTAGTGTTAGAGTTGCTGAACTCTAGATAGCATTTGGGTACCCATTTTTTAAAGTGCAATGGAAGTTTTTACCAAGTTGATTAATGATTATCAAGTTAAGCATGAATCAACATCCATAAATAATAAATGTAAAGCATAACAGTATATACATGGTTCGGTTAAAACCACTCTTAGCCTACATTCATGGGACCTCATCCAGATCGAAGCAAAATCCATTAAATAACGTACATTACAAGATATAGTTCAAAGTTGATTTTAGCTATAGCAAAGAGAACTCCCTGTTCTAGTTACACTAAAAACCACCATTTGAATCTCTAACGTTTTGTTGCTCCAAGGACTTCTTCACACCGGGAACACACCCGAAGAACACTTGAGCTCCACCCAAGCTTCACACGTCAAAGCCATGCTTCAGCATCCACAATGGAACCAAGTTTCAGCAACCATTCAATCAAGTATAAGAGATGGTGACGGTTTAGCACATAAACATAAGTTGAACCTTTGAGGAAAAACTTTTTGCAAATTTCAGAGCACAAGTAAAAGAAAATATCAAATGTTAGCTTTACAAATGAGCAAAAATGAAGATGATATAGACCAATTTCATGCTCCCCAATTCTTGCCAAGTCAACAAATAAGGGCTAACATATGTTGGTCCAAAAATGGAAAAGATTTTATCTATCTTTTGGGACCACAACCAAAAAAGAGAAAAAACTTATTTCCCTGGATCACAAGAGGATATTGGCACACCTATAAGTGGTCCAAATGACAACACAAAAAATGCAAGGAAAATATCTCAGCTGATAAAGATAAAACCGCAACTTGTGCAAAGTGAGTCAAACATGCGATGTTAACACAATGAAAAAGTGTGCGCATACACGATGTAAAATGCGAAATGAAATGTAACATGCATATGTCTTACATAAGTGTGCAAGCACACATCTAATGTGAACACACATGAAATGAAAATGCAAAAGACATAAGCTTGATATAGCTGAACACGTGGAAGACAAAAAGAATTCTAATTTTTTGTTAGACCACAAACACAACTTTTTTCTTTCTTGCGAGACCACAGATAAAGTCTTACAACTTTTTAGAACTAAATAAGGAAATTGTGACACATGTAAAGTTAACTCACACAAGGATATCATAAATCAAAATAAACTTGATGGACAAGACAATTAAAGAGAAAACGCCATTTGGCAAAATATGTCACCATAACATAAGTTTGACAAAAATATCAACATGTAGCAAGTGCTATGCTTTGATTCAAGGGTTGGGTTGATTGGTTTGAAAGTTCTTGTGATTTTCCATTGCCATCAAAGCACCTTGGAGTTGCCCAGTTGCCATGCAATTTCAGCAGACTTATGGACTAACTCACGTAAATTTATGGCTCATGTTTCCATCAATAATTTTTCTTTTTCTTTTTAACCGAGAATGGAGTTATTTTAACTCACCAAGTTCATTGCAAATCCCTTTATTAAGTTTTGAAAGTTATAATTATAATAAACAAAAAATAGAAAGTTACAAAAAGGAAAATCCGTACACATATTTTATTATCTATAGAAGTCATACTCATATTTGTTTTTTGGTGATCGGGTGTCCAGCCAGCTTGTATGCAAGCTTAACTAATCCTCGGGGCCAGTAATAGATCCAGAAATTTTTGTTAAGGTGGGCTAAAATAAAATGTAATAGCATATAATATTCATATTCTATGTTTTTAGTTGAAATTGACATAAAAAGAAAAATAAAATTACATATACTCTAGATCCGCCTCTACTCGGAGCCAATCCTATTAGCAACCGAGATAACTCAAATTCAGGATCTTTAGAACAATACATCTAAGAGTCTTTGTTCAACCACTCAGCCACACACAAATGGTTAAGTCATACTCATATTCCTTGAAGAAATTTCATTAAATTCATTAACTTTATTCTTTTAGAAAAATAGTTAATTAAAATAGAAAAGGTATCACCAAAGAAACAGAGCTTGCAGAAGATCTCTACTCATGGGAATGATTCAAGAACTATTTGGTACATGCTTGTATAAATCTTAAGATTAAAGGTAAATTATTTGTACAAATAAAGAAGAAATTAGATTTATCTTCACACATGGTAATGCTGCCTGATCAGTTCCTTCAAATTGTTGTCTGGCTTGATTTTAGTTAAGCTCTCCTTATAGTTACGAACTTCAATTGCAATAAGTTTCAGTCCGAGATTTCTTAATTCTTGAGTATTAGGGTCATATAAAAGTAGTTGTTCAATGGTAGATTCTATGAAAAATGCACCATTCTTCCATAATCCAAGCGGTTGGGGGACTCCTAAAAGAGGTCCAATCGTTAATTATTTTGTCCAACACCCACCTTCTGTCACTCATATCTCAAAATAACTCTAAATTGTATCTATTAGTAACAAAGAAAGAGAGTCATTATACAACCCTAAGTCTCCTGACAGTGATTCTGGAATGTTTGGCCCTTCTATCTCTCGCAGAATCTCATCACTCATATGAAATGAAAGAATCACTTGGTGATCCTCATTGTCTCGTATCGCCGACCAATAACAAGTACCATTGAAATACAGGCTATCTGACCTTTTATGTAGACTATACTGAGTAAGTTCAACAACTTCGAAATCTTTCCAAGAATTAGTACTGAGATTGTACATCGAAACATGAAAGAATTCATAAACAAATTAGTTTCATCGTCCCAAAGTGTGCGTATCAAAACCAGTTTGTAGTCATTATTCACAGGATCTAAACCAAATCCAATATTACAATAATATGCCCTTAGATCAAATGGTCNCATCATCACATCACCACCTTCACTTTTCTCTGCATATGAACAAAGCTTCAAGCCCAGGAGACATTGCCAAATAAAAATTTTCAGTCCTCCATGAGCAACTTCTCCTTCCCCATGACCACCCCAGTTTCGGACTAATAACTCTCGTGGCCTTCTCGGACTACTAACTGTTGTGTTGGGACGCTCACCTTCTGTAGTGTTAGAGTTGGTGAACTCTAGATAGCATTTAGGTACCCATTTTTTAAACAACTTCAAAATCTTTCCAAGAACTAGTACTGAGATTGTACATCGAAACATGAGAGAATTCATAAAACAAATGAGTTTCATCGTCCCAAAGTGTGCGTATCAAAACCAGTTTGTAGTCATTATTCACAGGATCTAAACCAAATCCAATATTACAATAATATGCCCCTGGATCAAATGGTCGTGAAAGAATAGGGTTTCTACATTTTGGGAGAGCCACTGTTTCTCGAGTTGCAGGATTGCATAGAAATATCTGATTGTATCCGTATAAACAAAATAAACCATCATAAGGACCCATAATTTGTCGAAGTACAGGAATTTGAGGATCAATATCATGATGTGATAAATTTGACAATGTTTGATCAGGGTACAATGATAATTTTTGTCCACAGCTATCAGGGTCCATGTAAAAAACAACAAGACGTCAGACGTGTATTATCTTCGTTATAGTTTTTACGGTGTTTGGAAATGAAACTATTATCTTTTACTAAAACATACTAATGTTTACAAACACATTTCAGCCGAATCAAGGATTTCACAGGCAGCTTTGATAAAATTTCAACCAACATATACTCAGGCAAACCTCCGTTTCTTGTCACCATTAGTCTCTCGCAGTTTGGATTTTCAATAAACTTTATCTTTTACCAGCCATGAAACATATTTCAAAAATCACGGTTTCAATTACTTGCTTCCAAAATGAATATCAATTGTTTAAAAAAAAAAAAAAAAAAAAAAATTTGATTCTTATAATGACATGAAAATCTCTTCTTGTGGTTCATGCAAAGATGTATAACATTTACAAATTGAAATGATTTCATCAATTTACCTGAGTCTCTTCATCTTTAAGAAAGCCTTTCCTTCCCTGTCCGTGAGGAGGAGGATGAAGATTTACTGCTACTCCATTTTTGATCTTGAAATTAGATGATGTGATATGCGGAAAGGAAAAATCATGGACGGACGACGACCTCGCGAACACT